AAATATCAAGCTAGTAACTAATTCAAACGAAAAACAACATCACAAATTAACAATCAATTAAAAAAATTTTAACCAACCAATAATTTAAAATAACTTAAGAAATAATAATAAAAATTTAACTAAATTACCTAAAAAAAGTATATAATTAAAAATTAACTTTAAAAAAAAACTAACAAAATTCAACTAATAATAACACAAATAAATAATTAATTAATTAACAAATTTAAAATAACAATTAACAATTAAATAACTAAATTTTAATCTAAAAATTAATAAAAAATAAATTAACAATAAATCAACCTTAATTAAATTACATAAAAAATTATATAAATAAAATTCAACCTAAAAATTAACATAATTTAAATTTGTTAGTTTAAAATTAACATAAAACTTAACATAATTACAAAGTAACAAATAAAAAAATTAATCTAATAATTATCAAAATTAAATAAATAATTAACAAATTTACACTAATGATTAACATACAAATTAACATAATTAAAAATTAACATAACAATAAAATTTAAGAGCATTCAAACAATTATTAAAAAACTTAAATTGAAAATAATGAAAATAAATAAACAATTAATCAACTAAAAAATAAAAAATTATATCATTAATTTAATTTTACAAAAAAAAAAACAAAAACAAAAACAAAAGAATTAGAGAGAGAAACAATTACCAAAGAGATTAACAAGAGAGAGAAGAGATTACGTCGGATTTTGAGGAAGAAAGATGCATCTCACCGAGTTAAACGATGCTGGGAGGCAGTGGCTAGCGTGGGGCAATGTGGGGAGGTGATTTGGGGCCGGTGGCTACTTTTGGTGGAGGAGAGGGAGAGTCCAAATAAAGAAAAAGAACAGAAATTGCCCGAGTTATAAGGTTTTTTTAGCAACGAATGCATTTTTGTCACTAGTCCGCCATTAATTAGCAATGAAAATAAGTGTTGTTAATTTAAATTTTAAATGGGTGTCGAACTCTCTAGAATTTTTGGGAAAAAGGTCAAATTGATGACGAATTTGGAAATTTATCACCATTTAAAATTCAAATTAGTGATAGAATCTAGGTCCGTCACTAATTTGAATTTCAAATTCAACGCAACGGCTCATCACTTAGCGACGAAAATTATCCGTCGCTATTTATCAATGGTTAGCAACAAAATTTCTTGTCGTCACTAAATCAATGAAAAAAATCCATTGCTATTCCATCATTGATTGTGATGCTTTTTTACCACATTATTAAGCAATGGTTTTAATTCCATCGCTGAATTTTTTTCACTATTCCGTCGCTATTTGCTCGCAAAAATAACCTTTTTCTCTTCGATCACTAATCCCTCATTAATTTGTCTCCAATTAAATATGGAATAGTATTCGTCGCTAATATCCATCGCTAATTGCCAATTTTCTTGTAGTGATGTGCCACGTAAGAACACGTGACGAGCTCTACCCAATGATAGCTTGCCAAGCTATCATTGGGTAGAGCTCGTCACGTGTCATGGTGGACCTAAATTGGGTTTTAACAAAAGTAAAAAAAATTTCTTTTGAATTTTAAATTTTAATTTTTTAAAATTAACATAAATACTTATAACCAAAGAAATTAATGAGAGAGAGTAGAGATTACCTCGGATTTTGTGGGAGAAAGATTCGCCTCACCGAGTTAAACGGTCTAGGGAGGCGAGTGGCTAGAGTAGAGCGGCGTGGTGAGGTCATTTGGGACCCACTACTGCTTTTGGTGGAGGAGAAGGAGAGTCCAAATAAAGAAGAAAAAGAGAAACTCGCCTAGTTGTAGGGTTTTTTTTTTTTTAGCGACGAATCATGTTTTCGTCACTAATCCGTCACTAATTAGCAATGAAAATAAGTGTTCGTCGTTAATTTGAATTTCAAACGGTGTCTGAACTCTCCGAAATTTTTGGGAAAAATGCCAAATTGGCAACCAATTTGGAAATTCACCACTCGTTTAAAATTCAAATTAGTGACAAAATCTAGGTCCGTTGCTAATTTGAATTTCAAATTCAAGCCAATGGTTCTTCACTTAGCAACGAAAATTATCCATCGCTATTTACCAATGGATAACGACGAAATTTCTTATTGTCGCTAAATCAATGATAAAAATTCATCGTTATTCCATCATTGAATGTGATGCTTTTTTATCGCGTTATTTAGTAGCGGTTTTAATTCCACCATTGAATTTTCCTCGCTATTTACTTGCCAAAATCACCTTTTTCTCTTCCGTCACTAATCCTTCGTTAATTTGTCTTTATTTAAAGACGGAATGGTATCCGTCATTAATTGTCAATTTTCTTGTAGTGATGTGCCATATAAGTACACGTGACAAGCTCTACCAAATTAAAGCTTGACACATGTGATGGTGGGCCCAAATTGGGTTTTAACGAAAAAAAAATCATGAATTTTTAATAACTTAACAAATGATAAAAGTAAAAATAGATTAAGAAAATACCAATCTACTCTTACCCACCAAACATAAAAATTCCCCAAATTCCTCCCCTTTCTCCCCATTCGTTTTAGTTTTTTCTTCTCTTTTTCATCCACGTCCGATTGCTATCAACAATTAACTTACAATCCTCATTTCTCCAATTTCACAAAACCCAAACGCTAATCATCATTTCCTAAAATCTTATTTACGAATTCAATTCCTCAAAAATTTGAATTGAAAATAATTAGTTATTAGAACTCGTGATTTAGTAGCTTTTTATCCAGATGGGTTCAATTCTACTATCAATATGAACCTTAAGAATTTCAAATGGTGGTGTAAAAAAATTCTGATTAATAAAAAAACACTGCATCTCCTTAGTCTGTCTCTAAATTTTGCTCTCTCTCTTTGGAATGCTATTATATCCTAGCTCTACTACAAGAAAAGCTTTCGTTGCTGGTTATAGGGAGTAGTATTTGCTTTTGCTATAGTTTTGTCTTTGGATTCTCAAGTGTGTACACAAAAAAAGGAAAATTGCAGTTTCTAGTTTGTAAAGTTAAGTCAGTAGGCCACAAGGCTGCTTCTAAAAGTGAGCCTTGATAGGTGAGCGTCAACTTGTTCCTGGGTAATTAAGGAGGTAGAAGGAGATATGAGGAGGCAACTGATATGTACCATCTAGGTAATTAAGGTTTCCTGTTGACCTCCATCTACTGCTTCAGATGGGTTTTTCCTTCTTTTCATTGAATTCCTAGTTACTGTCGGTTAAGGAAACCTTACTACAAGTCTGCACCCCTAAATGGTTATAGGTTTGTCATCGATTTTTTTATTGAAAATGAAAATCTCATGTTCCAATCCATCTAATAAGGGAAAGAGAAAAGAAAAAACTGAAATGAAGAGGAGAGATGGGGAATTTTTATGTTTAGTGGATAAGGGTAGATTAGTATTTTCCTAACCTATTTTTAAGTTTATTATTTGTTAAATTATTAAAAAATCTTAAGAAATTTTTTTTATTTTTGTTAAAACCTAATTTGGGTCCATCATAATACGTGCCAAGCTATCATTAAGTAGAGTTTACTATGTGTACTTACATGATATATAGGATCTAAAATAATGACAACAATATAAGAGTTTAACTTTTAAATTAACAGGAAAAAAATTAAGATCTTAATAAAAAAAATCTGAATTATACGAAGTCTCGTGTAAAATCCTATTTTTAAATGGAACATAAGTACAAAAGAGGTTTTTTTTTTTTTTTAATATCGTGATCATTCCTATTCCATAATTATGTAGGTATATAAGATTCCAAAAGCCTATTCAAGCATAGCCCACACAAATAAAATCAAGTTATTATCATAGCGAGATCCACTGTACATGTATGTAACAGGACCAATTCTCCAATTGTGAAGACTATTTGTAAGTTGCATGCTATATGTCAATACCTTCCGATGATAATTTCGAGGTGAAGTTTTTTTGTTCTAGTTTGCTTTGGATTTTTTTTTTTTTTCCCCCGATGAACATTGGTCTTTATTTATTGCAACATCGATTTTAATAAGTAAAGTCTTGAGATTGTGCTGATTATGGCATAGTGGGTTTGTTTGGATTGTTATTAAGGCTGAGATTGTGTTGATTATGACAGCGGTGTGATTTGAGAGGATGGTGTGATTCAGTTCTTGGGTTTAGATTTTTTAGATACTAATTTAATTACAATTTTTTTTTAATTTAACTCAGTTATTTTAGTTTTTTAGTTGAAGAAATAAACAAAATAGCATTCATTTATTTTGAATAAGACCCCCACCAAAGTAATACCATGTAGGTATTTGATGAACATATAAACAAAATATTAACTGATACGCTAAAAAAAAAAAAAGTAAATTGATACACTTAAATAAAAACTAAATAAAACTAGAAATATTAAAATAAAATAAAAATTCAAAAAATAAACACACCATATATGTAATTAATCTCTTAAGAGATTATAAATGATAATTAGAAACTATAATTGAAGCAATTTCCTCTACATCATAGCGAATCGCAAGACAAACGATAATTTCCATGTGATTAACCTCTAGAAAATAAAAATCTTCCATTGAAAACTTAGTTCAATATATCAAAACGTTAATTTCCTTGCTATTTGCATAATGGTTTCATTGCTATAAATGATGAGCTATGGCGTGTGTGACAAGAAAGAATGAGAAATTGAGTCTTTAGTTTTTTCTAAGGTAAACTACAAGTACAATAGAACCTCCTTATTTTTCCAAAGGTATTTTACAAGTACAATAGAACCTCAGCATTTTTCCAAAGGTAAACTACAAGTACAATACAACCTCATTATTTTTTTTTTATAGGACGATAATGAGAAACTACACTTACTTGAAGCAATTTCCTTTACATCACTCGTGCAATACCAAAATACAAAAACCATCTTAAGCCTGGGGTGCCACTATCTCTTCAGCTAAACACACGGTTATGGCAATTTCACAGGTTCAATATTCCAAATTTCTCGGGCATATTCATGAATGGTTCTGTCGCTGCTGAACTTGTACGAGCCTGCTGTATTCATGATCGACATCTTAGTCCATCTCTGCCACCAGTCGCAAATGCTAGAATAAATAACTGAAGAAGTATATGACTTTATGTGCAAAACGTTAGAAAGAAAACAAGATAAATGTCATGAAGCATGAAAAATATTAATTGGGAAAAAAAAACAAAATACTAGAGGTAGCAAGACTTTTTGACGAAGAGAGATGAAGTAATCTATTTTAAGGAACTGCGAATATCAATTCTGGAATAAAAGACGTGCTGAACTAGTCACATGAATGCAAAAGACAAAAGGATCAAAGGAAATTCATAATCCAGAAACAGAACAATCCATACAAATATAGCAGAAAAGTGTGCACTCATATATTGCTTTTCTAAGTATGTATTTTGTATAGATGCGAAGTGAACATATGACATGCAAAACTTACCGTTTGGTCTTGATATGCTTTATCAACCTCCTCCTGACATTCAATGTAACTGGGAAAGTCCTTGCCCACAAGGAAATAATCTGCACGGCCATAACCTTCATTTCCTTCTAATGAATCCATCAGTTGGTCATAGTTGTAAGACCCAAAAACTCCACTTCTAACAAAATCTTTCACTTCTTCGAAACTTGGGTGCAGGACAAACTGTGTTAAGAAGGTCATGAGCAAAATGTGACTAGAGATGAAAAGAGAATTTGTTAAAGAAAGTAGCAATTTGCTCTTGCATTTTTTTTCAGAGCTTTTCACATTGAAGGAGTACTATATTTATAGTGATATTCACTGAAACTGAACCAAAAGCTTACTATCATAGCATTCTTCCATGGTGATCCTTATAAGTTAGCATTGCATGATAACTAGTTGTCAGGAATTGTGTCTAATCCATGTAAAAGGTTATTTGGTCCATTGGATGTACCTTCCCATCAGCTCGCTCTTTCCTCAGCCCTACAATTTCATGAGCTTTAGCACCAAAGAGAAAAAAGTTGTCTTCTCCTACTTCTTCTCGTATTTCAACATTGGCGCCATCTAAGGTCCCAATTTGGACACAACCATTCATTGCAAACTTCATATTGCTTGTTCCACTGGCTTCCATACCAGCAGTACTGCATGGAGAGATGTGGTCAATAAGCAGCATAAAAGATGTTCACACAATCAAAAACAGTAAGCCAGTATTTTAAAGTTTGGCCCCTCACATTCTCCCAAACTCAGAATCAGAGTTTCTCAAGCAAAACAAATTTAAGAGAAATGAAATAAAACAAATTCCAATATTCTTTCAACATTTTTTATTTTATTTTATTTTATTTATTTTTTTTTTTAAATGAATGCTGGTATGATTCCACACATATTCTTTCAACAATTAGGACTGTTCGGTTAAAAGTCTCGTAACCAAACATTTCAACAAATAATTAGAATAACACCCTCTTTGTTACAAGACTAGGAGAAACACCATGCCCCTCAGTACACTCATAAGATAGAGATAACTGGTTGGAAGAACTGCATTCGTATCAGTGTCTTCATTTATTACTTCAAAGGGTCTATCTTGATTTTGCAGTAGGTTACAGTATTTAGACTTGGTACTTGCAAAAAAGCATAACATGAAAGCAGTTGGTGAGATTTCCTACAGAAATCCTGTTTCCAGGCTATGCTCTAGATCAGAGTAAAAGCTGGCGTGGTTTATGGTTGGGAAACCTGCTACTAGACCTCCTGCTTGAATAAGCAGGCTGAAGCTTGGAGTCTTCTATTCAAACTAAAGGTACTTAGTTAAAACAGAACGACACATGAAAAGTTCAAAAATGCTAATTGATGTGACAGTTACGTCAATTGTCTGCTGAGTCTGATCAACTTCAGGCCCAATGAATAAGCAGAGGTCTGCACAGCCTGAATAAGCAAAGGCTGCTCAACTTTCAGGTAAAACAAGCTGAGTTTGAGCAATCCCAAATTCCAAGGCCTAATATTAGAATATTAGAATGTAAGCCATTTCCAGGCTTTTCATCTCCAATAGATCTAGAAGAACTGTGTATGAATAAAGTTTAAGCACCTGATATGCTGTGAGAGCTCGCTTGCAGGAATAAGCAATTCAGCAACACTGACATTATAATCAGGGACAAAAACAACCTACATTTTAAGGAAAAAGATTAAGAAAAGGTAAAAACAAAGAAACTTGCATAACATTTAAGATTGGCAGACAGAGGGGAACTTCTGGCAATTTATGTGCACTTGTAATTGCAGAGGAGAGCAGAAATAGCCTTAGAATTTTATTGTTTAACAAATCAGCATTAAATCAAATGAAATAAACCCAAACTTATGGTCTACGAACGTGGAGATCAATTGGTCAATATGTAAGGGTTTCAGTAGGAATTGAGCAGATTTTGTAATTTAAGTTAATATTAAGAAAGAAAGTGCGCTGGAGAGACAGTTACCTCATGCCGTCAGTGCCAAACAAAATCAAATCCTTGCTCATTTCTTTTTGACAAATTATGTCTTTCATACTATTGCTTTCCAACGTTGTATCAAAGCCCATGGTGATAACATAATTAATACATGGAAATTTTAAATGTACTGCATGCACAATGGTTCAACTTAGCAAGCAGTCAGCAACTTCTGAAAGGAAGAATAAATGGTAACTACAAACAATCGACTTGATCAAGAAAGATATTATAAATGTTAATCAGCACTAAAAGCTTAGCCAGACTACAAAGCAGACCACAATAATTCAAATGAAAATACAATTCCCAACTATCAGTCTAAGCTCTTGCTTGTGCTTATCTGTCAATTAGCAGACATTTCCTATACATGTTGAGTTTTGCAAGTTCTCTGCTAGAGGCTCAAAAACAATATTTAGTGATGAAGTCATACCTTCAGTAAATCACCTATTTCTGGATCATGATTAATTTTAGCCCCAACATCTGTGATAAATTTCACTATTCTCTTGGCTTGCACATAAGTAGCAAATGCTTTTCCCCCAAATATACAAACTCGTGGAACATATTTAGATTTCCTTTCTTCAGCAGTCATTTCCTTCATCTTCTTGTAGCGGTGAACAATTCCCAAAATATTCAGCAATTGTCGCTTGTACTCGTGAATACGCTTCACCTGAACATGATGGCTTTAGTAAACTATATAGCAAAAGCAAATTTAATTGGAGAAAAAGCTTTAAAAGAAAATTCTCTTATTGATCATTGGTTTTACCCCTTCCATAGTCAGAATGTGAGTTCAACATAAAAACAATAAAAATAATAATAATTACGTTCCAAAAACATAATAACCTTTTATTTTATCTGAACTTTCTAATATTTTGATCTGTTTGCTAAAAGATATTAGAGCTCTCCACTACATCACATCAATGAGATTGTGAAGGGTTTAACCACAATGAAGTTACCTGGATATCAAACATTGCATCAGAGCTAACAGAATACCCTGTCTTTTGTTTCAGAAATGCTACGACCTTCATCTTATTGCTCTTTTTTGCTGCCCTCCACTTCACATGGAGGTCCTCATTATCTGAAAACTATATGCAAATCACACATTCTGGTTAGGACGTAGTGCAACAACTAAGTCTGAACAGACAATTAAATGGACAGACAGGATTAATTATTGAACAAAAAATGTTAGGAACTCAAATTCTAAGTGTAAAAAATCAATACAGGTCCCAGACTTTTAGATGGGATAAAGTTTTTGAACATGATTATGAAAGAAGTAGAATCTTTTATCTTCAAAGGATCAGCAATTTCTGCAACCGATAGGTCAGCAGAAATATGTCTGGCATAGTGATAATCTGAAGAATTTTGGAGTTTTAGGACATGGGGGCTATGGCAATTCCAAAAGACAAGTTTCTTCTTCAAAGCCTTCCACTGAAAGGAAGTGCATCTAAAACACAGCTTAAAATGGGTAGAATGATGGATACTCAAGTCATTTTAAAGCTAAGAAATTTCAAGAAATTGATCGAGAAATTAGGACTACTAACAGACATGGAACTTGTTAACCTCTCCCCACAAATCTATGGGTTTACCAGCCAATCTGTAAAAACTGAAACTGTGGGACATGGAGAGGATGAATTTGTCAAAAAATGACACATTTTATTCTTCAGTGCTCTTCGTTAAAATGAATTGTCTTGGTAGCATTGTCTAAGGGAAGTTGAATGGAAAGAAAAAAAAATGCTCATAAAAAAACATGGAAAAACTGTAAATTTTGATTTCAGCAATGGAGAAGTGTGCCTGTCAATTAAGAGAATTTCAGAGATGAGAAATCCAGATGCGGTGGATTACCTTTCTTAGTTCTGCTAGTTTTTCAGTATTTAAAACCCAGTCATCCGTGCCAGTCCAGTCAGTAATAATTTTACTCAAACTTGGATTACAGAAACAAATCCATCTTCTTGGTGTAACCCCATTTGTCTTATTTTGGAACTTATCAGGCCACAACTGTCAAAATTATAGAGCAATGGTTAGAAAGATGAGCATTTCCTGAATTGGGAAACTGACTGAAAATCCTCAGAATCAGTAGGCATTTGACTGAATTATATTGCGATTAAAGAAGGCAAGAATACCGTATAAAATGCATTAAAAACTTCATCCTTGACTATTTCACTATGTATCTCAGCAACTCCATTTACTGCATGACCACCCACAACACAGAGATTAGCCATACGGACCATCTTTGGTGCTTTTGGGGGTGGTTCTGCCACCACCTTCTCCTTCTTCTGACTTGCTTTGATTTTGGATTTATCTATTTCATCGACCAGATCCATTTCTTCTTCAGGATCATCCGCTGCCTTGGTTTCTTCTTCTGAATTATCAACTAGCTTGGTTTCTCCTTCTGAATTATCAACTAGTTCAGATTTTTCTAGTTCCTCGCTAGTAACCCCCACAAAGCTTTCCTTAGGCTTAACAATCAACTCTGCAAAAGCTGAAGGGAGATCCACATTTTCTAATATCCTCATCTCCTTCAGTTTCTTTTCCAACAAATTGGAATCTTCAGTTCCATACTCTGATACTATGGTGCGAATCAGCTGTTAAATATGAAACGAGATTAACTAAATTTAAGACAAAAACGACAAAGAATTTGGGTTTCATGAACGTATTCAACATTACCTCTTCATCAACCAATTCAATGATCTCAACATGTCGTGGTAATAATTTCTGCATAAGCTCTAGACTCCATTTCTCCAATGCCTCTGGTAGAACAGTGTGGTTTGTATATGCCAAAGTTCTTGTACATAAAAGGAAGTTGAAAGGATAAAGTTATCAAACTTGAGAATAAACACAAGTGAGGATAAAGTTTATCAACTAAATAAACAATAAAAACAAAAACAATGAAAGAAATGCTTTTTTTTTTTTAAGGAAAAAAAAAACACTTCGAACATATCCATCCATATTCTATCTGATTTTCTCAAATATTTAATGCATGAAAATTAGAGAGGCCAACCTAATACATGTAACGAACAGTAAAGCATAGAAGTTAAAGAAAGAGCTAGAATTTTTTTTAAAAAAGAAGAAGAAGAAGAAGAAGAAGAAGAAGAGAAAGAGCATAAACTGCCAACAGGTTATCGCTAGAGAAGCAGCAAACATTAAAGAACTAAATGGTGTTGTAAATATAGTAAGTCAATTATAGGGCTGATTGACGAGCTGATTTCTAGGAAGTTAATGACAACTTGGTTCTAGGGATTTAGATTGATCCTAGACCTATACATATTCTCATACTGTACTCATGTACTTCGAACAGTGAAGCACAGAAGTTAAGGATGAGCTGCTGTCGTTGCCCTAGTGAGCTATCACTTTTTTTTTCCCCTCTTTTAGCTGCTGCTCTAGTGAGCCATCATGACCTTGCTGCCCTATTTTCTTCCTCTCTTTTTGTTTAATGGCTGACGGAACAGAGAAGAAAACCGTGATCTCCGATGTTGTTACAGTTCATACCGCAAACTTTGCAGCCCAAGAGGCTAATCCTACCTCTTCCTCATCGGATGAGTCTATAATGGGGTCCGCTGATGACTTTGCTCGGCTTTACTCAATATCAATCCTTGTTAAAGTCTTCCAATCCGCCTCCGATCATCCGTGATGAGACAGGTAAACCTACTACATGTCTTGTGTCATCCTCTTTCAAATGGGTCATTGATTCGAGTGCTACGGATCACATGACAGGTAATGAAGATATTCTCTCCTCCTTTGTTTCACACAAAATTCTTCCCGGTGCCACTCTAGTTGATGGGTCAACCACATCCGTTATAAGAATTGGAATAACTCTTCTTACACCATCTCTCTCTTTGTCATTTGTCTTATGTTTACTCAATTTTTTATTTAATCTACTATCGATCAGTAGAAATCCCTCGACCTCTCAATTGTTGTGTCTTATTTTTTCCTAACTATTATCTATTTTAGGATCTTATGTCAAGGAAGACTATCGATAAAGGACATGAGTCTAGAGGTCGGTATCATCTTCAACTCATATCAAAACCTATACCACAACCTATCGCTTGTTCCGGTATTATAACACCTCTTGAGTTGCATTGTCGATTAGGGCATCCTTCTTTATTTGTTTTAAAGAAATTGTTTCCTCGGCTTTAGAATTTATCTACTTTAGAATGTGAGTCATGTCAATTTGCTAAACACTATCGTGTGTCATATTTCGTAAAGTCAATGAACGGGTTATGTCATCCTTTGAGTTAATTTATTCCAATATTTGGGGTCCTTATCTAGTGACTTCTACAACTGGTTTTCGATATTTTGTCACATTTGTTATGACTATTCTTGTGTTACTTCAATCTAAATTGTTCTCTATATTTTGTGCTTTTTGCGCTGAAATTCGAACTCAATTTAATGTTCCAATACGTGTTTTGAGGAGTGATAATGCGAAAGAGTATTTCTCCGAGTCATTCAATACCTATATGACACAAAATGGCATTCTTCATCAATCATCATGTGTTGACACACCACCTCAAAATGGTGTTATTGAACAAAAAAATAGATATTTACTAGAGGTTGCTAGACCCCTTCTTTTCCGGATAAAAGTGCTTAAACAATTTTGAGCCGATGCTCGTGTCTACGACATATAGCTTAATCAATCGGTTACTCTTCCGTTTTTTCCGGTGATACTCCTCATTCTATTTTATTCCCTTCTTAGTCTTTATTTCCAATAGAACCACGTCTTTTTGGTTGTATGTGTTTTGTTTGTAATGTTAATCCCAAAGTGTCTAAGATCCAAAATCTCTCGTGTCTTTTTGGGATATTCTCGTCCTCAAAAAGGTTACAAGTATTATTTTCCTACTTTGGGTCATTATTTGATTTCAGTCGATGTAACATTTTTTGAGACTACTCCATTTTTTCATCAACCTACTACATATAATTGTGAGGAGGAAGATGATATTCTGATATATACCGTGACTACAACTACCGAATCTCATATACCCATTAAGCCACCTATCGCCCAAGTTTACTCTCGTAGTGATCCGTGAGATCTACTACCAAATCAAGACTCACATCCATGTGCTAGCACTTCCCTCTATAGATCCTAGTCTTGATCTTTCCATTGCTCTTCGTAAAAGTAAACAGCAATGTTCTCATCCTATCTCTTTATTTGCTTCTTACGACCACTTGTCTCCTTTGCATTGCTTTATTGCTTCGTTAGATTCGGTTTTTGTACCTAAAACATTGCATGAGGCCTTATCCTATCCTGGTTGGCGGATTGCTATGAAGAAGGAAATGATGGCTTTAGATGATAAAGGTACTTGGGAATTGATGCATCTCCCAAAAGATAAATAGGCTATTGGTTGTAAATGGGTATATGTTGTCAAGGTTAATTCCGACGATTCCGTGGCTTGTCTCAAAGCTCGATTAGTTGCAAAAGGGTATGCTCGGACATATGGTGTAGATTATTTTGATACTTTTTCTTCGGTTGCCAAACTTGCATCTATCTCGTTTGTTTATCTCTCTTACTAATACTTAGCTTTTTACATTAGTTAGATGTCAAGAATGCTTTCCTTCATGATGATTTGCAAGAGGAAGTCTATATGGAGCAACCACTTGAGTTTGTTGCTCGTGGGGAGTATGGGAAAGTTTGTAAACTTCGGAGGTCTTTGTATGAGTTAAAACAGAGTCCTCATGCCTGCCTGGTTTGGGTGACTCAATGTTGTAGTTTAAGAATTTGATATGAAAAAGAGTACTTGTGACCATACTATTTTCTACCCAAGATCAAAAACTAATATTATATTGTTAATTATATATGTTGATGATATTGTGATTACTAATAGCGATGATGCTCGGTATTTTAGCTCTTAAGTCTTTTCCCCATACCAAATTCTAAACAAAAAACTTAGGTTTATTGAAGCATTTCTTGGGTATTGAAGTCACCGTGTCCAAGAAGGGTATTTTTCTTTCTCAATGAAAGTATATTCTAGATCTATTGAAAGAAATTGAAAAAATTAAGAGCTAAACCTTCTACTGTACCAACGAGATGATGGGGAGTTATTTGCTAATCCCGAGAGATATCGCAAGTTAGTTGAAAAACTAAATTATCTCACAAGTAACTCGTCTTGACATCACATATCCTATCAACATTGTGAGTCGGTTTATGTCTTTTCCTCAAGTTACTCATTGGGCAGCATTGGAACAGATCTTATGTTATCTCAAAAGTACTCCAAGACATAGTTTACTCTATAGTAATCATGGCCATTTCAACATTGAGAGTTTCTCGGATGCGGATTGAGCTGGATCTAAGATTGATAAAAGGGCATTGTGTCTTTGTCGATGAAAATTTGGTGTCATGGAAAAACAAGAAGCAAAATGTTGTGTCTCGATCTAGTGTAGAATCGAAGTATAGAGCTATGACCTAATCCACATGTGAACTTGTGTGGATATCTCAATTGTTAAAAGAGATTGGTCTTGAAAATTCTCTTTCTATGAAATTAAGATGTAACAATCAAGTCGCTCTTCATATCACATCAAATCCGAGCTTTTCATGAAAGAACTAAACACATCGACATCGAGATCAATCGTCACTTTATCCGAGAAAATTCAACAAGGATTAATTTCCACAAATCATATCAAAACTAGAGAAAAACTAGGCGATATCTTCACCAAAGCTTTAGGGGGTCCTATAATTGATTACATTTGTAACAAGTCGGGCATGATTAACATCTATGCTCCAGCTTGAGGAGGAGTCTTGTAAATATAGCAAGTCAATTATAAAGCTGATTAAGGAGCTCATTTCTAGGAAGTTAATGACAGCTTGATTCTAGGGATTCGGACTTGATTCTAGGGATTTAGATTTATCCTAGACTCGTATATATACATGCTATACTCATGCACTTCAATATGTGAAATATATTATTCTATTCTCATATTTCTACAATGGTTAATTTTGTTTCTCCATCTTGCTTTCTATGCAGCTCACTTTTCAAAGTGAAAACGAAAGACAAAAAAAAATAAAAAATAAAAAATAAAAAATAAAAAATTCTAAAGGAAAGGTACTCTTACAAATCCCACTGACTGGTACCAATCAACCACTTGCCAGTCACATCATAACCATTCAACTATATGCTTAGTATATTTTGAATTCCCCAGATCATAACCGTTTTGGAGGATATATGCCAAAATAAATGATTTGGTAGAATCCCTCAACATTGCATTTAGGTATCTGAAGTTGGGAGTACCTTTGAGTGATATTCCAGGCCTCCTTCCAGCTTAAACCCTTCAAATCTATCAAAATTCTCATCAGCTCAGGGATGCAGAGAGTGGGATGAGTATCATTCATCTGAACTGCAACTTTCTCAGGAAATTCTTCCCATTTTATGTTTGATCCAGATCTTCTCTCAAAACAAGAAATGATATCTTGGAGAGAAGCTGAACACAAGGTATACTGTTGCTTCAACCGAAGAATCTTGCCCTCTGGTGAGTCATCCCCAGGGTAAAGAATGTAGCAGATCTGATATTACAAGAAATCATTTTAATGACCAAACATTTACAGTTCACCTTGTACTCAAAAACAGGACAACGGCATTAGATATGGAAGATAAAGAAAAAGTGCAGCAATGAACTAAAGACAAAACAAATTTGGAGAAGAAAACATGGAAATAAGTGAAACCCTGAATCAATAGGTTTGCTAAATAAAAAACACACCTTTTGGGCATTTGAGAGGACCTCATATGCTTTGGTATGGTCTCCAGCATTAAAAGCATGCAAGTCCAAATCTTCTGATGGAGCTTTTGTTGACCAAAGTCTCAGGTTAATAGTGGTTTTAGTTTTATATCCTGGTATTGGGACATCACATGCCACAGCCTTTATATCTTCTCCGCCAATCCAGTGTCTTTTCCCGTCTGATCCAGAAACAATTTTCCCATAAAATTTTATAGGATATGAAACATCATTTCTAACCATTTCCCAGGGATTGCCCATCTACAAGGATAATAAAATTAAATGAAACATCAGAAATCATCATAATGGATAGATAAAAGGCCACCAAAACTTAATCAAAGTTTTAAAGTAACTTCACATACTTGTGGAATTTTCTGAAATGAAAGATAACGAGCAGAAAGCATCAAAAAGCAATCATACCTCAAGCCAATCTTCAGCAACTTCCTCCTGACCATCTTTTGTAATCAGCTGTTTAAACAAGCCATACTTATATCTTAATCCATAGCCCCATGCTGGGTAATTTAATGTAGCCAACGAGTCCAAAAAGCAGGAGGCAAGTCGCCCAAGACCCCCATTTCCAAGTGCAGCATCAGGCTCCTATTAACATGTGATCAATGGATTTAGCACACAGACAGACAGAGAGAAACACATGTTCCCACATAGATTTTGTGACCATTTATTAAAGTTTCTAAAGCAAGTAGCAGAGGTTATGAAATAGCAAAGAGAACTTGTCAATAATTTGAAAAAACTTTCAAATTCAGTTTGCAATTAATAGGGTAGTGCTTTTATGCACACAGCAGCAGGGGTCCGAATGTAAGCTGACTGTTGTTTAATCAAGTCAATGATCTGAGTCTTAAGTTGCAGCAGCTAGCTTCTTCTTCGTATCCTCTGCATTTTGCCTTTTCCCAATGGCTGTGACAAGCATGATTCAGCTTCATCTACCCTTTGATTTCAAACATGTTTTGCTTGAAAGAAAAGTGATTCATCACACCAAATTATGCAAAATATGCCACCAATAATCTGAATACAACTATTTTGTGCCAAAAGAAGTTACTAAAAGAAAATCACCTGGCAAGCCACATTTTCTAGGTTGTGACCAAGCTTGGTCAAAGCCTCTGCATAAGCACCAGTCAGCTCTAAATTACCAATTGCATTCAACAGTGCTCTACCCTGCAAAAAGAGAGAGTGATGAAACAAGCATTATTGAAGTAAGTTTTGTAGATTAAAAACTATTGCATGTTGGAAATGACGCAGAGGATCACAACAAACCTGCAGAAATTCCATTGACAGATAATATGCTTGTTTTACATTCAACCTCTCATAATACTCATATGTTGAATTCCAATTGATAATGAGAGCATCACGGACACTCTGTGCAGTAGCAAAGTAAGCCTTTGGAAGCTCAAACCGCTCCGGAGAAAACAATGGTGTGAATTCTGCATGGTATTTGATACTTGAGGCAATAGATGAAGCATCTGGAGTGGAAGGACTCAAAATTCCTGGAACTTCTGCGAACATAAATAATAAGAAACAGAAGGTAATTTTGTATAGGATATTGAGTTTGTTGTAATATGAGTTAAAAATGGAAGTACAAACTTCTTTTGACTTTCCCTATTTTGCTTTTGCAAGTAGGAGCTAGGAAACAAGCATCCATATTACAAAATCATTTTAGTCCATGATGTTTCTCTGAAATATGAGACATCCTAAAAGAAACAGACAAAGAAAGAAGTAAACTTTTAATTAACACATTTTTGCAAGCTAGTACATTGGAGCATAAGTAAACTCAACAAATAAGTAAATGACAACTAAATTCAAAATGCGTAAGATATCAACCAACCAAGAATTCAGACTTTCCATGAAGCTTAACTCAAAGTAATCACCCGGTTCATTAGAGCATGATTTCAAAGAAGAAACACACCCCTCCGACCCTCCAAAAAAGAACAGAACTTGATATAGTTTAGCCACATTTGAAACAAACAATTCAAATTTGTCATGTCAGCATCAAAAAAGGATCCGAACCCAACATCAACTCAAGAAGAAAAAGAAGCCACCACAATAAGAGATGATTTTCAACTTTTTGCTTGCCAAGCAAGCTGCTTATTCCAAACAACCTGTTACTGGATTTCTCTCAGTCCATTCAGCAGGTTTGACTGGAATTAAACAGCAATTCAAAATCATCAAACACCGCGACAGCTTCTGATAATAATTAATCTAATAAAATCCTAATCCGAACAGACGACGGGTCCCAATCCTTTTTTATCCTAACACGTCAATACAACACAAGAGTGACGACAAAATAAAATTCATTTATTGTGATACCATTTCGCACCGGAAACGCCTTTGAAATTGAAAAATTACTAACAAAAAAAAAATCTAACAAATTCAAGCAAAAAGCTCAGAAAACACAGAACTCAAGGGAAGAATAAAATGCATAAGAAGAACGCACCTTCTTCATTGGTGAGAGGATCTATGAGTTTCTGCTTAGGCTCACTGCTTGACACAATCTTGATACTAACTGAAACCGACCTCTTTCTTACTACACGACGCGAATTCGTGAAGAAAAGCTGCTGCTTCGTCCTCCATTTTGATCCAAAATCGATCAATCTAGAAACGGAACTGCCACTGCCACTATGGTAACAATGCGACGTCGCTGAGAAATGTGAAGTAGTGGGTGTAGTAGTCGCCATTGCTCTCTCAGTGATCAAGAGAAACTGAATCTCAAAAAATAAGAGATGGAGATGGTGACTTATTTATTTATGCTGATAAATAATAGTAAAGAATTAAAGTGAAATAAAATAAGACAGAGAAACTACTTTTCTTATCGCTTCACGGATTTTTTTTTGTTAAATCATCATTCAATTTTCTAATAAAGAAAGAAATTATCGATTCACGAGGACAGCTCTCTCTTCCCATAATTGCTTGCTTGCTTCGAATTCGATCCTCTGCACTCGATTTCTTGGTACAGTTTATGTAAGTGCCGGGTTGGAATTTTATTAGTGGATAATAGACGACGTTGAATATTGAAAGTGACGCTTGAGAATTACGTTGTGTGACGTGGCTGATTTGAATTGGATATTGGAATATGAGAGCGGCCATTTTTATCATAGATTGGGCGTGGGGTGTGGGGTGTGAGGGGGATTTTCTTAGAGGTAAACGACAAGGAGAAGGGAGCAGAGTGATGCGGTGGCATTTGATTGAGATATTATTGAGTTGCCACTCAAGCGAACGTGCATCGTTCACATGTACCAATTCCATTTGATGGTTTCTTAATAAAAGTTTTATCAAAAGCTAACAGTATTTATTTACACGAGCGGTAGGCTTAGGTTCAACCCTTTCCACTTTTCAATACTTCCCAAAACGGGTTAAAAGTAAAAGATATCTGATTATTATTTTATTTATCCTAATCGTATTTTTTTATTAATTTTTTAATAATTATATCCCTTGGTTCATAATTTATATTTAAATTTTATCCTTCGTCTAATTTTTGGGTAACATAATTAATTTTCAACGTATGACTAATAAAATGTCGACACATGACGTTAATTTTTTTCCTCTTAATTTCAAATACTAAAAAAGAAATTAAAGACATAAAAAACTTAAAACTCCAAATTGCTCTTAGATAAAAAGCTCGTATATCCCAAACTTAAGCCTTTAAATTTTCCTTTCATCCCTAAATCATATAAAAATCTCTAATATGCTTTCTTCTACGATTATTGGTGATTGATGAAAGAAACAAAACCAAAATCCCCAAATCATTTAAGAATCCCCTTCTCTCACACCTAAAATCTGTTCTAACTAACCTTACTTTATTTTATCTCTTCAATTATGACTAATGAATCGAAGAAAGTTAAACACTAAACTCTTCAATTATGGTTGATCGATCAAAACATCTCTTCTTCATTTAGTCCTAAGCATTTATCCTTTCATTTATTTTTTTATTATTGTCGTTTTACTTCTCTTGTCCTCGTACTCTTTGACAATGAAAATGTAGTTCCTCTTTTATCGGGTTTGATTCATTCCTTTAGTTACAATTTTGTTAATAATTTTTTTTATTTTAATTTTTTTTAAAACTTGTGTTATTTGTTTATATAACTTGTAATTAACACCGTTGTTTTGAAATACCACAAGATACTCGGATTTTCCTAGTTCATCCAATGAGTCAAGAATTGAAAGAATTATTCCAATCTGTGTTGCCAAACCCCAAAGACCAAAGTATGATTATGAAACGGGTCCTAGACTCGTAAGTATGGAGAATGAGTGTCTAAGATGGATATCATGCGATTATCTTCATGCAGTTGTAAAGTTTTTATGTTATCCAATTCATGCTACAAGCAATCGAAGGAAGGATGTTAGATGTAATTTTTATAAATAGTGTGAATCGTTTATATTGGGTAGAGCAAGAGATGTGATTTTAGGCATAAGAGAAAGGCAAAAATAATTATTTGCTGAAAATAGACAAGTTGATGAGAAAAAAATAAGAAATTTGATAATGAAATTGCGGAATTGAATACCGATAATTGAGAATTAAAGATGAATTGGTATTCGAGAAGAAACAACTAGATATGAAAATTACAACACTAAGAGTTGAAAAAAAAAAAAAACTACATGTTGGAAGAGGTGGATGCTTCAAATAAAAAAAAAACTAAAATAATGTAGAGATTCATATGATAAAGTTATGTTTATATACGAATTGGGAACTTTGTTATGCTTAATGTTTATTATGATTTTGTTGATTTATGATTAGTTAGGATGGTAAGGGTGTAATGTTAGAGGTAATTATTATAAATGTAATTCCATGTGCAGCTCCGAGTGTTATAATTATAATTTGATTTTAATCAAAAGGTGAATTTGTTACGTTACTTGTTTAAAACTAATTTGTTTGTTTGCATTGATTACATAGGGTCCAATATTTGTTTGAAACTATCTAGAATTTACTTCTTGATATTGCTACCAAAGTTTGTATTCATTCACATTTATCCCATGCATGAAATTTGCAAACAAAGATGTAAGTGTTGTTTTAATTATGTTTACTAAAAATAAGTCATTTTCCATCAATTCTCGACAACTTATATGCAACACAATTGTTTAAGGTCCGAAAGATTAGCAAACATGCATAATTGTTTAACATTATATATATATATATATATAACTTATGCAAAAACTTGTCTAGAACTTATACCCAATTTTTCTTTCAATGTGGAAACCACTCCACAATTTATATGCAAGCACAAACCTTTATGAAACTTATTCAAAAAATTCAATAACTTAATTTAGAAATAAATTTATTTAAAAAAATAGGTTAAAAAAAGTATAGTTGGTAACATAACATCATTCTCATGTTTTTTTTTAAAAAAAATAACAATTATACTATCACACTTGTCTATAAAATACCATAAAACATTCTCAAATTTTATATAAACAACAAAACAAAACGAAATATCTTTAACTCCGTATTGTGCACATTTTTTTGCTCTATATTCTATAGATCTTGAAGACCTCATGTCAAACACAATCTTCATCTCCATCATTTCTATAAAGACCAACAACAAAATAACCAAGATATATCACAAATTCCACCATTTTTTTGTTTGGCTTTTGAGAAAAATAGATGACTTTCTCATCATTATTTCCAAATTGAAAAAAAAAAATAGTACATAATTTAGTACATGTCTAACAAAGAAAAGGAAAATAAGACCAAAACTTATATTCTGTTATGAAATAATGAATGTCCATTTCATATTCTTCATTATTCATGTGATTTAATTCATCATTCAATATGAAAAATTGAAAGGATGATACAATTTATTCAATTATTTATACATCTTTTAATGGTTCATAATCCTTTCAAATTCTCTTCCCGATCTTGAAGCCTATAAATAGGCTTGATTATTCATTAGTTTATGCATAAGTATTTTGTAGAGATTGAGAGATTATTTGAAGTTGTTATCATTCACATGATCTTTAGTGAATTCATTTTTCTATCATCTTTCTCTTCAATTATACTATTGTTACTATTTCTTTCATAACACGTTATCAACACGAAGCTCTAACCAATCAAGATAAGAGATCATGCGGTACATATCTACCAAAACACTTAATCATTTATTTCAATCATTGGATTTTTTTCCTACACAAAAGCTCTACCAAAAAATCTAAATTATTTAGATCATTAAGAGGTATGTATCTAATTTATCATGTACTTTAAATCTAATGATACATAGAATATATATTTTAAAAACTTAAAGGATTTAATATGTAAAATCTAATAATCTAATATATATTGTTTGAAAAGTTTAAATTTATTATTATGTTTGTTTTTATTTAAATTTTATCATTATTATTTTTTATATCTTATTATTATTATTATACTTTGCATTATAGAATTTTTATGATATCAAACCTCACAAAACTTTATTTTGTGGCCCTTGACATTATGGGCAAGAATTATTGATCATGAGTATTTGATGTTACGTAAATATTCTCTACTTTTCATGTTTCGAATATGCTCTTACATTAGCATATCGAGAAAATAATTTTAAGAAATATTCTAAATCAATTTCATATTTACTCGTGGCTAAATAAAATGATAAGCTATTGATGAAAAAGAATAAATCTCATCCAATTGGATCTACTTCATTCCTTAAAGTGAATGTGATAATTTATAATAATTTTAAGCATGGACGAAGATGTGGTCATAGCCATGGACATGGTTGGAGTAATTGTCATTATAATCGTGATGATCATAATATTACATCGCACCACCAAAAGTAGATAAATATGGAAAAAAAGAATAAAAATAGATAAAGTTAGTATTCTGAAAATGAATGTTATAGCTATGGTATGAATGGATATTGGTTGTATATCCGTCATATACTAAAGCATCTCATTAGGCCTTGTCAAACCACATTGAAAAAGAAAAAAGTAAAATATAAAGGCTAATTTTATATATCAAAATGGAGGTAATTGAAATTAATAACTTGTTAGCTTTTCTATTTATAAAAAAGATGTTTTATATTTTCTTATAATTTTTATTGCATAGGGATAGTGATAAATTTATTTAACTATTTATGAATTTATTTATTTATGGTTATGAAGAATTTATTTATTTATTTTATGTTAATATTATATCCGATAACATCAATTTCAAAGAATAAATCTCATCCAATTAGATCTACTTCATTCCTTAAAGTGAATGTGATAATTTATAATAATTTTAAGCATGGACGAAGATGTGGTCATAGCCATGGACATGGTTGGAGTAATTGTCATTATAATCGTGATGTTCATCATATTATATCTCACCACCAAAAGTATATAAATATGGAAAAAAAGAATAAAAATAGATAAAGTTAGTATTCGAAAATGACTCGTTATAGCTATGGTATGAATGGATATTGATTGTATATCCGTAGTATACTAAAGCATCTCATTAGGCCTTGTCAAACCACATTGAAAAAAAAAGAGTAAAATATAGAGGCTAATTTTATATATCAAAATGGAGGTAATTGAAATTAATAACTTGTTAGCTTTTCTATTTATAAAAAAAGATGTTTTATATTTTCTTATAATTTTTATTGCATAGGGATAGTGATAAATTTATTTAACTATTTATGAATTTATTTATTTATGGTTATGAAGAATTTATTTATTTATTTTATGTTAATATTATATCCGATAACATCAATTT